GCGCTGCAGATAGCTTGCTGGGGAGACCATGCATTAATAAAGGGACTCAAAAATAACTTAAACAAGGTTTTAATAAGAAAACAAAAACTCCTTTTACACTAAATACATTAACAAACAAACATGACCCAACCACCAACCCATCCCCAGGGTAATGGGAGAGCTAGGTGCTGCTCCTTATATACTACACCCAATTACCAACACAGCTTAATCAATACAACTCAGCAGCACCTGCTAGTGCCTCACAGCTGTAAAGCTGGGTCTCGTTATTTTGCTCTGGCCCTTTCTCTGGCCCCTTAAAGACATGGCACATCGAGTGGAACAATGATGAACCTTTACATATTAAATCATTCAACATTTCCCTGCGGTTCATCATTGTGGAACAAGAACATAAAGCATACTTTGTACATGTTTTTCATGTATACTCTTTTTGGAAGTGCTTTAGTAAAAATGTCTGCAATCTTGATTTGTCACCTGGAACATATTTAAATACAACCATTTCATCAGCAATTAGTTTCTTTACAAACTGTAAACGTAATCTTAAGACTTTAGTGCGCTGCGTATTGGTTTCTGAACATAGGATAGCGAGTCCACTCTGGGAATCAAGGTAAACTTTTACTGGTAGTGTTACTTGCATCTGTAGGTCCGCGTAATACTTGCAGATACCATTCCACATCACGAGTGGCCTGAACGCATGCACATAATTCACCTCTGTTGTGGAGAGGCAAATAATGTTTTGTGTCTGGGACTTCCATTCAAAATGGACAACCATTATAACAAAACACCATACCAGACACACCCTGCAATTATTTTGTTCCACTGCATGAGATGCATCACAGAAAATTTCAAACCTTTGTCAATACATGTTGTAAACTGCAACCTATAATGTTTGGTATGTTTAAGGTACATTACCACTCTCTTAAGAGCAGAGAAACATTGTGTAGTGGGCTTTTCCACAAATTTTGCCAGAAAGTGAAAGGCATAAGTTAGATCTGGTCTTGAGATTCTTTTGAATGAAATTTAGCTTGCTCTATAGCAGAACGATACAAAGTTTTGTTAGGAAATGGCTTATCTTCACCTGTAAAAGTGAAACCACACACCATGGGCGTTCCTTCCCATTTGCATTTTCTAAACATAGCATTTCAACAAGATCGTCAATTTTTGCAGTTTGATGAACCAGAAAAGATCCATTTTTGCCTTTCTCAATTTGCATGGATAAGTAATTTTTAGCTATGCCTAATTCCACCACATCAAATTTCTTCTGTAACTGTGTTACTACCTGTTCATATTCCTGTTTAGTTTTTGTAGAAATTAACACGTCATCTACATAGACACATATTTTTGCTACAGAGTTTGCCCTTTCCTTTATAAACACACAATTGTCTGCCTGTCCCTGTGAAAACCAATATCCAGCAATTCTTTTGCTAAAGTTTGATGCCAATTCCTTCCACTTTGGTGCAGACCATAAAGGATTTATTTAATTTGCATACCTAAACCTTCAGCGGCGTCTATGCCTTCAGGGACACGCATAAAAATTTGTTCTTTTAAATCTGCAAACAAATATGCAGTTTTTATATCTAGGTGATAAACAGAATGTCCACGTTGTGATGCATCTTTTAACAAAAGCTTAACTGTTTCATATTTTACACTTGGTGAATAACACAAATCATAATCTTCGCCTGGAATTTGTTGAAAACCCTTAGCAACCTAATCTTGCCTTGTACCTTACAACTTCATTTTTGTCATTCATTTTAACTCTATAAACCCATTTTGAATCAATAAGTCTCATATCTGGGGTTTGTGGTACAAGAGACCAAGTGTTATGCTCTTTTAAAGAAGCTATTTCAGAGTTCATAGCTTTATACCAATTTACAGCTTGGTGCTTAGGTAAATTCTGAACATCATTGTAGCTTTTTGGCTCAAAAACTGCCTTATTGGCATACACAGTATTAAAATGTTCATCTGCAAAACGTTGTGGCTTCTGTCTCTTTCTATCTGAACGTCTCAGTCCGGAAGGAGAGTCAGACTCCTCAGACTTAATGGGACTATGTAAACTACTAGCTTCAGGTTGTAAATCATCATTGTCAGACTGAAGAGATGCCTGTTGGCTAAGCTCACGGTCAGAAAACTCAAGAGAATCTAACCTCCCCCTCGGGTGCCTGTGACTTTAAATCATCAAAGAAATTATCAGATTCAACAGGCTTTTTGTCTTCTTCCATTAATTCAGAAGCACCATTTCCTGCTGCTGCCGCTTCTTCTTCTACCTCTTCTTCCTCAGTATTATCTATACCGTTAGTATCTTGGAAAACAGCAACGCCATTCCAATTTACAGTTTGTATCATTCTTCTGGTAATATGAAATTTGCCAGTTGCTGGTATGTAAATTCTGTACGTCCCCTGCTGGTAGCCCATTAATTTTCCCTGGACACCACGTTCACCTCAATTTCTGCTTAGCGGGATAATGCATTATTACATCTGAACCCCAAATGCGTAGGTATTTCAGATTAGGCGTTTTTAAACAGCTTCTCATAGGGGGTGACATCTAAACCAGAATGATAACTGCGATTTCTAACATAACAAAAGGCATTGAGCGCTTCAGCCCAAAAGTCTTTGGGCAGATTAGCATCATGCAGATAAGTTTTAACCCCTGCCTGCAGGTCACGCTGCACAACTTCAACAAGCCCATTTTGCCAGGGACTTCGGGGCAAGATAACTCATGAGTAGTCCCCTGCGCTTCCAGGAATTTCTCAAAATCCTCAGAAACAAATTCCCGCCCGGTCAGAAAAAAGGTTCTTAATAGGTTTGTTAAAATGTGTTTTTACCCAGTTGCAAAAACTTTGTACTTCTCAAATGCTTGGGACTTCTCAGCTATTGCATAAGTCCAACAATATCTACTATACTGGTCTATCAGGGTAAGCCAGTACTTAAAACCTCCTAAGGATGGTGGGAGTGGCCCAACTAAATCACAATGTACACGCTCAAATGGCTCAGTTACTTTCCTATCTGAGCACCTACCCTTGCGTGCAACCTTAATCTTATTCTTGCAACAGGATAGACATTGCATAAAGAATTTACATGGTTTTAAGTTGAGGCCATTAACAATATTCTTGGTCTTAATTACATCAGCAAAATTCAGATGTCCCAGAATTCTGTGCGCCTCATGGACACACCCAGAATGTGGCCTTACATTCCTCAAGCCCTGGCTTGACTGTGCTGCTCTGCAATTTATAGGCGATTGGGAGTAGGTGCGAAAATACAGTCTATATAAACCATCAGATTCCCGGGCATACAATAGACGTTTGTTCCCTCGAAAAACTCACACATTGACTTTAAGAAACGCACAGTTATGCCTTGACGAGCAAAACACCTTACTGACAATAAATTGTCCACTGATGGGCAGTAAATGCAGTTCGCTATAGTAATGCTTAAAGAGTCAAGTTTAACAGTACCCCTGCCAAGCGACTGCAAGACTTGTGAACTGGCTAAATGTACATTACCAATTTCCTCTTCGAAAGAAATAAACAAGCTTCGATCGTTGCAAACGTGCTGAGATGCTCCTGAGTCCACAATAAAAGAATTCCACTTGGCACCTTTAATTCTTTTACGATCTCTTGTGCTAGCGTGAAAAGCTCGCGGCTCTGTTTCTGTCTTTACGGTACGATCTCGGCTGCTGAGCTGACGACCGTGACTGACGAACAGAAACAGACTTGGGAGTACTTTGCTTTCTTTTGGATCTGCAGTCCTTTGCAAAATGTCCTTGCTTATTGCAGAACCAACAACGCTTTGCAGCTTTAAATGCAGTTGTATCACCACAAGTTTGCATATGGTGTTCCTCATTCTTTCTGGAAATAGGAGTGCTTATGGCACAAGCCTCCCTTCTGTCCAACTCGCCCATTAATCTTGCCGTTACCCCTTCCACAGTTAATTGTGCTGGTGGAACGGCAGATATCTGGCTAGCTATACCATCAAAGTCCTCATTAAGGGAACAAAGGATGATGAAAACATACTGAATATCAGGTATCTCCATGTCCCTTCGAATTAATTCGCCGCGTATTGCCTCCAGACGTCCTCAAGTGTGCTGCCAAATCACCACCAGGCTGCAACTCGTCTGGTACAACTGCTTGAAAAACGTCAATGCAGACGCTGACTCTTTTCTAACATGCACTGCTGCAAGACTGTCCCACATTTCTTTGGCAGTTTTCTTATTTCTTATATAGACTACTTGCTGGTCGCTGACTGCTAAATTAATTCTCGCCCTGGCTTTCGCATCTCCTTTCGACCAAGCATTAGTCACAGGGTCAGGAGGGTCATCAGTTACATAGGTCCATACTTCTCTAGAGGTCAAAAGCGCCTCCACCCGAAAAGACCATAAACTATAGTTCTCATCTGTCAGCTGTGGGAAGACCAGAGCCTTCTCAGCTTCAGGAACCCGGTCAACCATTCTGGAACTCTTCCAGACCCACAGAACTACGCTAACAGGAGAAGGAGTTTTCAAACCTTTCTCAGAGTCCAAAAATATGCAGTCATCCACTCAGCAGCTGGGCCCATAACCAAAGATGTTGACTTTTTGCAGTATGGTAGCGCTGCAGAGAGCTTGCTGGGGAGACCATGCATTAAAGGGACTCAAAAATAACTTAAACAAGGTTTTAATAAGAAAAACAAAAACTCCTTTTACACTAAATACATTAACAAACAAACATGACCCAACCACCAACCCATCCCCAGGGTAATGGGAGAGCTAGGTGCTGCTCCTTATATACTACACCCAATTACCAACACAGCTTAATCAATACAACTCAGCAGCACCTGCTATGTTTCACAGCTGTAAAGCTGGGTCTCGTTATTTTGCTCTGGCCCTTTCTCTGGCCCCTTAAAGACATACACATCGAGTGGAACAATGATGAACCTTTACATATTAAATCATTCAACACCAACAACAGTCGCTACATAGGCAATAAAACCACCGTCCCAATTGGGTTTTTGCTAACTGGTCTACTCAAATTCTTCACTACATAGGATAAGAGGTAATTCTCACATAAAATACAAAATTTAATCTCTTAGTGAGTAGCATAGTAGACTAAGGTTACCAGAACGTCCCCGTTTCCCGGGTACAGTCCCCGGATGTACAAATTAGTCCCTTGACAAAATCCATCTATTTAATGTTGTTGTTTAGTCGTTTAGTCGTGTCCGCCTCTTCATGACCCCACGGACCAGAGCACGCCAGGCACTCCTGTCTTCCACTGCCTCCCACAGTTTGGTCAGACTCATGCTGGTAGCTTCGAGAACACTGTCCCACCATCTCGTCCTCTGTCGTCCCCTTCTCCTTGTGTGCTCCATCTTTCCCAACATCAGGGTCTTTTCCAGGGAGTCTTCTCTTCTCATGAGGTGGCCAGAGTCTTGGAGCCTCAGCTTCACGATCTGCCCTTCCCATCTATTTAATAGGAAGTTGAAAAATGTCCCCAGATTCATTGAAAAAAAATCTGGTCACCTTATAGTAGACTGGGGCTGAGTCCATTTTCCTCAGTTTTGAGCTAACTGGGTGGTCCTACCCCACTGGCTCCCTCTAAGCCTGGCCTGCCTGGGAGGGTTGTTGTCCTTGAGGATGACCTTGACCTCTGGATGCTCTTGCGGTCAACAAAACAGTCCTGCAGTTCTTTTGCCTGGGAGGCTATGAGCCACATTTCGCAGCTTTAGGATTCCAGTGCCATTATTTGCTGTATTTCCCCTTGCACCGTGGAGCTGACAGAGGACCTCTGCATGCAAGCAGTCTCCTTATTTATCCTAGACATTCATAAAGCAAACCAGATATTGTCTGGCATGCAGCAAAGAGAGAGGTTCTGTCTTGCGAGATATTTTATCTCTCTCGCTCTGGGGAAAATGATTGCACGGTGAGGTCATGTTAGATTTCGTCTCGTGCAGGCGAGTATTTTTGCCGTTCCGATTTTCTCCCAGTGCCCCCTTCCTGCAAGCGCCGCATGGCCATCTAATGGCTTCTGCGTCCGGGGGCTTCAATTGTCCTGGACCGGGCTAGGTATACCTGTTCCTTGCATCCAGGACAGGTGTGCTCCTGTAAGCATCCCTGCCCTGTTAGGTTTCATTAGGAGGCCAGTGGGGGAACTGATATAGAAACATAGGAAGTTACCTTGTGGTCCTTCTAACTCGGTGCTGCCTGCAATTACTGGTAGCAGCAGGTTTTCAGGTAAAGGTCTCTCCCAGTCGTACCTGGCGATGCTGAAGATTGAACCCCACGGTCCTTCCGCTTGCAAGGCCGAGGCTCTGCCACTGAGCTATGACATGGAGAATCTGTCACCATTTCACCTTTAGTCTATGCCTAGTAGACGCCCCCTTTCCATCTTTCTCTCTTGCATACTAAATCATTCCCTCCCACTGCTCCAAAGCTGCCATGCAGAATCATAGAACTGTCGATTTGGAAGGGACCTGAGAATCATTTAGTCCAGTGTTTCCCAAACTTAGGTCTCCTGCTGCTTTTGAACTACAGTTCCCAATGTACTCTTTTTCTGAATTTTATTTATATTCTTTTCATTATTACAATTTCCAAAACCACAGTCACATTAAAATCAACATTTCCCCTCATTCATATCTTACTTTATAATAAAACAGCCATTAGCGACCTTCCTTCTTCCCCTTCCCTGGGTCCTTTGATTTTCCCACCATTCCTGCATATTCTTATATATGCATTTAGTTCTCTTTTCCCTTTAATCTTCCTTTTTTTATATATTACGCTGTTGCTGAATTTACCTTAATCCTGCTAACGTTTTCACGTGATTACAATTATTTGCCAAATACTCCACAAAGTTTTCCCATTCCTCTTTATATACAGTGGTACCTCTGGATACGCACACCTCTGGTTGCGTATCCTTCAGGATGCTAACGTGGCAAACCCAGAAGTATTTTTCTGGGTTTCACCACACGCGCATGCGCAGAAGCGCTCTACTGAACCCAGGGCCTTCTGCATGGTACAGTAGGTGCCATCTAGGTCAGTTCACATCCACAGCCCTTTACCTAAGAAGGAAGTTAAGATGACAGTCCTCATGTTTTGGAACAAAGGGCTGATCGAAATGGAAACACAGGAAGCACCTGAGTCAGTCCATTGATCCATCAAGCTTAGTATTACCGACACTGGCTGGCAGCATATCTCCAGGGTTTCAAACAGCGGGCATTCCCAGGAGATGCACGGGATTAAATCCATCACGTTCTGCATACCAGGCAAGTTCTCTACCACTGAGCCTTCCCCGGTGAAGTAAATTTCTCTTCCATCTCCCCAATGGCAGCACCCCACGACCCATAAAAACGGATTTTGGAGAAGCCCAAAGCAGGGCAGAAGAAGCCATGCCAGGCTCAGGGATCACCCAGTTCCCTGGACCCTGACACAACCTTGACCTTCACCATGTCTCCACTGCTGGTCGTCCGTTTAGGAGTCCAGGCACTTTCTACTTCCTCCTTGTTTTTAAAACTCTCATTCGATGTATGATTCTTTCCAAACCCCTGGACTGAATCCCCCCCCCAAAAAAAAAATTTAAGCTGCCCATGCAACTCTGATTTCTTGTGTTTGCTAACACGTTTCTGCCTTGGTGTTGCTCCTCTACAAGCAGCTAAAAGGAGCCTGGAGGAGGCCAAAGGGGGAAGATAGTCCCCTATGGGAAGCCCCTGCATGTTTGTTTTTCACCCCCTTTTCCCAAGCTGCCACATCCCATTGACAAAGTTCGGGGCTTAAATCCTCGCGGCGGCCGACACCGTGACCCAGTTCCACCCGCTGCCCGTCTGCGCCCAGCAGCTGTTGCCAACAAAAGATAATTATTGTGTGTTTGGGCTGGGGGGCTTCCTCCTCCTCCCTCCCTCCCTCAGTTATCAGCTTATAGCTTTTTTTGGCTGGCCTCTTTCCCATGATATTGTCGGAGCTGAGGCTGTTCTATTTTGGCACTGGGAGACGTCTGCTTCCCCCACTGGTGCTCGAAAAACCTCTAAGGGCACTTTTGTGCAGAGGTTTTCTGTTTTCCTGGACGCAGAGAGCTGGTTTTGAGCCTATCCTGTACCTCAAAATCCCCACGAAGGTCTAACACAGCTGATTCCTTTTGCTAGTCCACACAGCAGACAGGCTCCACCAGGGACCACACCCAGGAGAGATGTACAAAACCTCTCCAGAAATGTGCAGTTCCATCACTGTTATCAAATCGAATTCCTATCCTACCCCTTCCCCTAATGTTGTGCACCTTCCCCTAAAGCAATGTTTCCGAAACTTGGCCCTCCAGCTCTTCTCGGACTACAACTCCCATCATCCCTAGCTAACAGGACCAGTGGTCAGGGATGATGGGAATTGTAGTCCAAAAACAGCTGGAGACCCAAGTTTCGGAAACCTTGCCCTACAGCTTCCTGTATTCCAGCAAACTTCTTATTCTTGTCATCACTTAGCATGCAAATATTCCTTCCGTTGTCTCCTTTTTTCCTTCCCCCTTTCCCTCTTGACTGCCTTTTCAGGCTGTGATCGTAAGGAGGGGAGGGTTCAATGAGACAAAAAATAAAACTGGGGGAAGGTAAGGTAAAGGTAAAGGACCCCTGACAGTTAAGTCCAGTCGCGAACAACTCTGGGGTTGCGGGGCTCATCTCGCTTTACTGGCCGAGGGAGCCGACGTTTGCAGACAGTTTTTCCAGGTCACGTGGCCAGCATGACTAAGTCGCTTCTGGCAAAACCAGAGCAGCGCACGGAAACGCTGTTTACCTTCCTGCCGGAGCAGGAACTTGCACTTTGACGTGCTTTCGAACTGCTAGGTTGGCAGGAGCAGGGACCGAACAACAGGAGCTCACCCCGTCGCGGGGATTCGAACCGCCGACCTTCCGAACAGCAAGGCCAAGGGGCTCGGTGGTTTAGACCACAGCGCCACCCGTGTCCCTTCTGAAACCGGAAAAAGTGCATCCTTTAAAAAAGAGATTCCCCTCCCCCCAATTTACCCTAAACATGTACAAAATAACATAACCATACAAACAATATTGTAACCATGCATAGAGCATATGCCGTGTAAAAGCACAGAGATGCAGTTACATATAGTAAAGGGATTTTTTTTAAATAAAAAAATTAACATTCTTTTAAAGGTGTCTGTGGGAGGGGGCTATTGGCTTGTTTTGCCTTTATTAGGCATTTTGTGTTCTCATTTTGTGTTTTTGTGTTGTCAAGCGACCTCTGATCTCCTGATGAAGGGCAGTATACAAAATTTTTATTATTATTAATTATTATTATTAGAGTTTATATATCGCCCTATACCCAGAGGTCTGTTAACAACAGTAACAGTAATAACAATAACAATGTTATTATTCGTACACCACCCATCTGACTGGGTTGCCATCCACTCTGGGCGGCTTCGAACATATATAAAAACATAATAAAGCATTAAACATTTGAAAACTTCCCAGTACAGGGCTGCCTTCATTTGTCTTCTAAAAGTTCTATCTCCTTGACAATCCAGTCAGATGGGCAGGGTAAAAATATTATTATTATTGACAACATCAGACAGGAGGGTGTTCCACAGGGTGGGTGCCACCACCCAAAAGGCCCTCTGCCTGGTTCCCTGTAACATCACTTTTCACAGTGAGGGAACCGCCAGAAGGCCCTCGGAGCTGGACCTCAGTGTCCAGGCTGAACGACCGCAGTGAGGATTGGCCCAGGATTCCTCTCCTACATAACCAGAAAGGCAGACTGTTTACCTGTGTTTTAATCTGTTTTTAGCTTGCCAAACGTTTTGATATTTTAATTAATGTCTTAGTGTTTTAAACAGCTGTCTTCAGCTGTTTATAGTGGTATTTTTATTCTTTTTGTAAATCGCTTTTGAAGGTTGGGTTTTGCAATCAGTCTGTATATAAGTTGTACGCAATACATGAATAAAACCATAGCTGGCATGGACAGTTTGGGCGAACACCCTTCTTGCCTTCCGTATACAACTCCACGTACGAGACTGGGCTTGTCTGGGACCAAAGCTGGAACTGAGCCTCAAGATTTTGGATACTTGTCCGGTCTGCCTGTCTAACAAGGTGTCCCATTGTTGCTTTTCCAGGCTAAAATTGTCCAACGACGAAATCAAACGTGCCATCTTATCAATGGATGAACAAGAGGACCTGCCAAAAGATATGCTAGAACAGGTGAGGGTGCCTGGAGTCACGGAAAAGAGCTGCGGTTTCTGAAAATGAGAATATGTTTAACAAAAAACCTGGGCCCCACTTCTGTGGGTCTTATGTGCCTTTCCTCCTCTGTCAATTGCTGCACAGCCATTATTCCATCCCTCTCACCCAACCCCAACCACATTCCCTATCTTAATATATTTTTTAAAAAATCTAAATTCTACAAATCCCTCCAATTACATTTTTGGGAAGTTGGGAGAATCCTTGTAAATGTGCAAACACGTGGGGGTTTTGTGTTTTTAAAGTTACTCACTTCTAAAGTGCAGGTTGGGGCCAGTGCCAAATTTACATATAAGCTAAACAAGTTATAGCTTAAGGCCCCACTCTCTTGGGGGGCCCCCAAAAAAAATTAAAGGAAAAAACTGGATGTACATTTCCAAAATATAAGATAAAAAACAAAATAAAACCTACATGCAGCAAGTGTGTTTTGTGTTGTGTAGGTTCCTATGATGTAAGTCATGGGCCCCGCCTGCTAGCCTGCTCCCTCAAATATCACTGGTTTGCTCATTTCTATATATAGGGTGCCTACATTCTGCATGTGCAAATGGCTTTAGATAACTATTAGGTCCATAAATTATCTTATAGCATATATTCAACACAAAAAAACAGTGGCAATTTGTTGTTGACAAAGGACAGCTGGACATAGAAAGGGCCCCATGACCTTCAGTAGCTTAGGGCCTCATCAAACCTAAATTTGGCCCTGGGTGGGGGCTTCCCCTTCAGGTTAACTAGGAATGGCCTTCTTTGCAAGCAACCATTCCATAATTGGTTGACTGGATCCAGATGAGGGCGAGTCTCCTACAAGGTACCCATAGGATGATGGGAGTTGTAGTCCAAATTGTCTGGCAGACACCAGATTGGCAAAGGCCCTGTTAGAGTACCTTGGTCCAGTTTCACAGCTGCCCTTTGTCCGTCCCACTCGAGGAAGATGCTGACCGCACAGGAGAGGGGCGAGTGTGTTTTAAAGTGTTATCTCTCTCCCCAACCCCCCCCCCACCTTCCCTTTCTCAGCTTCTAAAATTCGTTCCGGAGAAAGCTGACATCGACCTGCTGGAGGAGCACAAGCACGAATTGGACCGAATGGCGAAAGCAGACAGGTTCCTCTT